GTCCAGGCTGACCTCAGGTGGGCGTATCAGGGTTAATATTAACAAATGCAGAAATGATATCTATAGTTTTGAGTAGCATTCGATCAGATTAGATGAAGGTATTCATTCTTATCTTATATCCCTAGGCGAACTTTTTTTTCATGCACTTGACCTGCGCAGACCTCACGTTTTGTCCATAGCGCATGACTTTCTTGATCAAGATTCTCAAGTATCTCCTGCGCAAACCAAAAGAAGTTCGTCTAGGGATACTTATTTGTTAAGAATAGAATTCTTGGCTAAACTGAAGCCCAACAATATGGATATCATCTCTGCATTCCTATCAAATTAAAATGAATTATTTGGTTCAATCTAATGTCAAACTAGGAATTGTAAAAAGGAATTTTAGCTACATGACATAGATATTTTATTTAGACGACTGCAATGGTATTGCTGATCTTGTATCATCTGAGAAATATAACCGATAATGTAAATTGCGGTCCAATCCAGGCCAGTATAGAGTTTTTTGAATTTTCTTCAAAAAATAATCGTAGAAGTGTTTTTTTTGTAAATCAGAACTTTTCTTATTGTTTCAAATGACAATTTTTTTCTATAAGAGCACATGCCTTGAATATTTCTATTAAGTGAATATTCATCGAAATGCGCTTAATATATCTTATCAATTTATGTTTTTAAAACAAAATGAAATCACTGTCCATCAGTATGATTTATCGTACATTTGTTTTCGTTTTTTATTGTTTATACCATATCTTTCGCAGAGGTATGTAAGATTAAAACATAAATCTATTGTGATATAACCATTGTGGGAAACCTTGTCATCTATATGTCAGACCGAAACAGACCAAAAACCAGCATATCGAAAAATCCGCCTCATTATTACAGATGGTGATAGATATAACGACATCTCTATCACAGTTTATTAGTAAGTTCAAAGAATATCTGCATGTTTATAGAATTTTTTGAAGTAAACTGAAGGGTAGATTCAATTTTCTCGCCATTTACTTCAACAAATTTAACAATTCTATTTCATAAAAGCACTACAATAGTGAAACATGAGTCTTATGTAACTTCTTTAGTGGCACAGAGATAGATATGGTTAATCGTGATGTTCATTTGACTCTTATAGAATGAAAAAAGAGAAAAAATTACTTATAACGGTCTACGGGTTGATTCGGTACTGTCTAACTGGTTTACGTCGGTGCCGATTGCCGGTGCCGATAAGAAAAAAGGCCTACGGATTTCAATTCTGTATCATTCATTACATAATGATGTATAGAAATTTGAATTTCATGGCAATCGAAATTCACCAGGACTTTGGCCAAAGTCAATGGAAAAATTTTATAATACAGAGCAAAACTTAGTTTTAGAAACAACCTCAAATTCTCACATGTAAAGGTGAAATTGAGACTAATTGCAGTAGCATATATATTTTTCATGAAATTAAATTATATATATTCAAAAGGAAGCAAATCATAGTTTATACACGAAGGACAATTTCTCCTCATTGTTCTCAATAGTTGTGTAAAATGCAGACGCGTAATTGAATAACACACAGGTATAACTCAGGTTAAACATCTTTGACTTGGTAGAAATTTTTCATGTATCTTTAGTTTATATATATATATATATATCTTCCTAATAACATGCTGATGTAATAATTCTAATACAAAAAATATATTAAAGTGTATACGATATACGCATCTGTAACAAAAAATAGCTGTAAGCCGGATTTTCAATATATCGTCGTTATAAAAACGCATTAAAAAAAATAATTACATATTCTGAGAATGCTTATTTTTTAGCATCCTACGTATGAATGTTTTAGTTTACAATTATAGGCTATCAAAATAAATCGAATGTAATGAAAACATTGTCATTATCAGATTTACGCAGTATTAATTTTATCCTTATTATCAAAATTAATTTCTAAAATTTTTCATTGCAATAGAATTCCGGTTTCTGATAAACTAATTATATATTCTGATAGAACTTGACATTCTCTATTATTCCATATATTTATCTACCTTATGAAATAGATTTATTGAAAAATAATTTGAGTATAGTGGACATACCTTCAATTGGCACATACCAAAGATCGTTACTTTTTCTTCTTTTATCAAAATATAATTGCTTTTTTTAAATTAATTTTCATAGTAATTCTATTTTAATAAAAAGAAGAAAAAGTAACGATCTTTGATATCTGTCGATTGCAGATGTGTTCACGACACTCAAATTATTTTTTCCATAAATGTATTTAATACAGTAAATAAATGTATGGAATGATAGAAAATTTCAAGTCCTATCGCAATATGTAATTAGTTAATTAGAAAAAGGAATTCTATTGTAGTGAAAATTTTTAGAAACTAAGTTTGATACTAAAGATAAAATACAGTTCGTACTTATCCGATGATGAGAATGCTTTTTTACACTCGATTTATAATGGTAGTACATAATTGTAAAGTAAAACATCAATAAGTGAAGTGATAGACAACAGAGAACAATTTTAGAATGTGTAATTTTTTTTAAATGTGTTTTTATATTTGGCAATATGTTGAAAATACAAGCCTGCCGCTACTTGTTACTGTGCGTATATATAAATATCAGAGTAGTATGCAATTTTTTTAAAAAAATATACAGATATTCAAATGATTTTTGTCTATTATTTTTCTTATGCATCTGTTTACTTCATTTGTTTAGTGACAAATTTTTAATTAAAAAAAACTTTTGTTTTTTCTCCTAAAATGTTTTTGACTACGCAGCGTTCGATCAATTTTCATAGACTTAGCGTACACGAACGTATCAATCATACAAGCAGAAACCAATTCACTTTTTATTGATTCGTTGGTAATGATTTACAATAGCTACGATTATTTGATATGTTATATTTCATATAGAACATTCTTTTAAAATAAATAAATGATTTTTGCATATATATTCATTTACTGAACATATATAATGAGTCTCTAGCGAGAAAATCAACTCACAAGTGTTTTATTTCAAGTAGAAAATAAAGATGTGATAGATAATATACGAATAGGAAAATATTCTTTTTAGTGACTGCTTGAATGGAATCGAGGCAAGTTCGAATAGAAAATTTCTAATGTGTTGCAGTAGTCTTTTCTAAATCGTATGGAGTTTTATGAATTAACAAATATGTAGTAAATCCATGGAGAAACAGTAAGCTTGAAAATATGTAGGTCTGTTGAAAAAAGGGGTCTTGTCATGTTCATCGTCTTTCCATAGCATAATTAACTACTTTCCTTATTGGTGAAAACCACTCTGACTCTATTCTCAAAATAAAACTTTAATCAGGTTAATAGGATTTTTTCTCTCTTAAAAATATATAGAAAAAAAATCTACCCTATGAAACTCCTTCTTAATTCTCTTATTTTTTTTTCTAGATTTCTAAATCCAAGGAGAAATTCTTAATGATCTATCCATTTCAGTTAGTTTCTGAAAATAAAAACATTGAAACCGTATGCCCTCGTCATCAGCTTTGATAGCTAAACTTGCCATGATCCAGCAGCAACTAATTCGATATGTATATCCAACGTGGTTAATATTTGGTATAGTTGGATGTTTGCTTAATCTTATCGTTTTCTCTCGTCGACAATTGCGTACCACTTCATGTTGCATCTGTAAGTATAAAATAAATGTTAATCTTTATTTTCAGGAACTGAGAAGTTACTAACGATGTTCGTCAAGTGAAATATTGTCTTCTTGATTTTGCATGAAAATAGAATCTTTTTAGTAGAAATACAAGATCTTTTTTATTAGTCAGCTCAACTCTTCTATCTT